CATGATAAAGTATATTACATTAGCTTTAATTTAAGATATATATAAAAGTGTCAGACTTTCCGGAACACTTTCAAAATTTAAGTTGAAAAAGTCAGTTTTTGTGAAAAAGTGGTCATTTTAAATCCCCCCCCTGTGGGCAGATAAAGGGTCAGATATAAAAAAAATATATACCAAATGATAGGTAAAGACATCATGCATCTATAAAAAAAAATATTATATTGATCCATACATCTTTCGAGAAGTTATAGCATTATAAAGTTAAAAATATAAAAAAGAATTTTTTTACAAAAATCGTATTTTTTTTATTAAGTTTAATGTCTGTTTTCACCATGAAGATAAAATAAAGTCCGAAATTTTTTTTTACCATTATAAAGTATATTACATTAGCTTTAATTTAAGATATATATAAAAGTGTCAGACCTTCCGGAACACTTTCAAAAGTTACGTTGAAAAAGTTCTACTTTCTATATGCATTTTTATGTTTTGAATCCCCCCTGTATTTAGGGAAATGGTCCGATTTAAAAAAACAGTATGTCGAATGAAAGATCTATATAAATACTACTTCTCATAAAAAAATTGTAATGATTCATACATTTTTCAAAAAGTTATAGCATAATAAAGTTAAAAATGGAAAATACAAAATCGAAAATTTTCACACAAAAATAGCATTCGGTAGCCATTTTCACCATGAAGATAAGATAAAGTCCGAAATTTTTTTTTTTCATGATAAAGCATATTACATTAGCTTTAATTTAAGATATATATAAAAGTGTCAGACCTTCCGGAACATTTTCAAAATTTAAGTTAAAAAAATTAATTTTTTGTGAAAAAGTTGTCATTTTAAATCCCCCCTTGTGGGCAGGTTAAGGGTTAAATTTTTGGAAAAAATATACCAAACGAAAGGTAATGATATTACACATCTATATAAAAAAAAGTTATATTGATATGTTCATTTTTAAAAAAGTTATGGCACTTTTAAGTAAAAAAAATTGAAAAAATTTCGAAAATTAGCGAATTTTAAATTTGTAAATTTTTTGGAGGTTTCCCCCATTTACGGGGAACGAGGGAATTTTTGTCAATTTTTGAGGGTAATGTCTTCGACTAGATACGATTTGTGATCTTTTGACGTATCATTGAAAGAAATCGGTTCTGTGAGAGCTGAGAAAAAGTGGTAACAGACACAAAAAAAAA